TCACTGCTTCAGCTGATCCCGGTGCTAAGAGGCCCTTGCTGCTCCCGCTGATCCCCAGTGCTGAGAGGCCTCGCGGCTCACTGATCCCAGTGCTGGGAGGTCTCGCAGCTCCGCTGATCCCAGTGCTGGGAGGCCTCGCTGCTCTGCTGATCCTGGTACTGGGAGGCATATTACCCTTTTACTATATAGGATAGAGGCCTGGTGCATGGGTGGGGGCCAGCTGGTTTGCCCTGAAGGGTGTCCTGGATCAAGGTGGGGGTCCCCACTGGGGTGCCTGGCCAGTCTGGATGAGGGGATGATGGCTGTTTGCAGCAGGTCACACCCCCTTCAGGGTGGGGGTCCCCACTGGGGTGCCTGGCCAGTCTGGGTGTGGGGCTGAGGGCCATTTTCAGGCTGGCGGGTGACTGAAGCTCCCAACCTATCCTTTTTTTCTTTTCTTTTTTTTTTTTTATTCTGGGCCTGCTTTAGCTCTGAGGCTTGGCTCCAGCTCTGAGGCCTTGGCTGCTGAAAGCAGGTATCTGGTTTGTTTGGGTTCTATAATTGTAACACTGTTGCGGTCCTGCTCACTACAGCTCTGAGATCCCAGCTGGCTGAAAGCAGGGATCTGCATTTGTTCTATAATTGAAACAATGTTGCGGTCCTGCTGGCTGAAGCCCGGCTGGCTGAAAGCAGGTTTCTGGGGTTTGGTTTAGCTTCTATATTTGTAACAATGTTTCTTAGAGAGCAGCTGAGAGGCCGGCAAGGCAGGCGGGGAACATTGGCTTCCTCTGTCACTGAAGCAAGCAAGCCTCCCTGTTTGCGTCAGCTGCCTGGCTGCCGGCCGCCATCTTGGTTGGCAGTTAATTTGCATATCACCCTGATTAGCCAATGGGAAGGGTAGCGGAGGTACGGCTAATTACCATGTCTCTCTATTATTAGATAGGATTATTTATTAACTATTGTATTAATTTCCATACCAACAACCCTAAACCTACTTTACCACACCCTATATTTACCTCTTGACCTTTTATAATCTCTTTCTTCCTTCCCCAGCTCTAAATGTATTTATTGATTTTCCTTCCTTATAAGATTAGTTCATACTTTCCATAATGTTATAAACATTATAATGTGTGTATTCTTTAACAAATATTGGACTCTTTCTTGCTACAGTTATTTTGAGATTCAACACTATTGCTTATGTGAAAAGTTAATTGTCTTTTATTGCTGAGTAATATTGTGTTCTGTGAATAACCACTTTATTTATTGATCTATGTTTTTTGTTATTTCCCGGTTTGGGGTATTATAAATAAAATAGTGGCCTGGTGTATGAAATTTGTGCACATTAAAAGGGAATTAATTACAGGAAATATTTTAATATTGCTATTTTCCCTTTCCCTGTAATAGAAGTGTCAGAGATGAAAGAAAATTAGTAAAATGTATATGAAAATCTTCCTCCTATCAGAGTCTAGGGCACGCCACAAGACCCAGAGTCAAGTCCCTGCCCACCCCACGCCTTGCAATTGTGCGAGACCCAGATCCGGCCGGCCCCACCCCCATTGGCCGAGATCCAGAACAGCTGGCTCCAACCCTGTCAAACCCTGCTGTGTGGTGGGGCACAGCCTCAGGGCCCCCATCAAGCCCCACCAGGTGGGGGGTGCTGCCTGAGGTCCCCCAGCCTGGCACCAGGGTAGGGGGCGTGCCTTGAGGTAGCACGTCAAGCCCCTCTGGGAGGGGGTGTAGCCTGAGGTACCCCGCCAGGCAGAGGGTGTGCCTTGAGGTTCCCTGTCAAGCTCCGCTAGGCTGGGTGCATGGCCTGAGGTCCCCCATCAAGTCCCGCCGGGTGGTGGGTATGATTTGAGGTCTCTTGTCAAGCCCTGCCAGGCGGGGGTCATGGCCTGAGGTCCCCCGGCCTTGTGCTGGGGCGGGGGGCAGGGCCTGAGATCCCGTCAAGCTCCACCGGGCAGGGGTTGCAGCCTCAGGTCCTGCTGATAGCTCATTGTGGCTTGTTATGGGAACCCTGCCTCCACTGTGGGCGCAGCTATCTTGTGTTACAGGAACCCCACCTCCACTGTGGGCACAGCCATCTTGTGATGGCGTTATGGCATGAGGGTCAATTTGCATATTAACTCTATTATATAGGATTTTCTGGGAATATTGCATTCAGTTTTTTATATACATGAATGTTTTACTTATCTAACTTTGTAGTACAGGTGTTTTACCTTTTAAGATATGCAGAACTGTAATCTAAAGTGGTCTTTCCCTTTGCCTTCCCAGCCACCCACAATAATGAAAATTCTAGTTTTCTTTTATTCCTGTGAGCACATGTGAGGTTTAATATTTTTAAATTGTAGGCCCGAAAATCAGTATAGTGTTAACTTGTTTTGTTTTAAACCCGTTTCCCTAAGATATTTTTATGGTGAGTGGTTCTTTATGCATTTATTTACATTGGCTTTATCTCTTTTGTTAAAATGTCTGGTTAGAAATTTCTGCCAATTTTTAAAATGAATTTATGATTTAACCAATAGGAGGACAGTTCAGCATCTAAGACATCTGTTTTCACTTCACTCATTCCTCAAAGACTCAACTGACTTCTTTGCCATTTGGAACTATATGTTTTGAATAGTGGAAGCACAATTGTTTTTCTCAAATTTTATCTTATGTACAATTTAATGCCTACTTGAATATTACATTTATAAGTTTAATCTAAGTTGCTAATATTCTCCACCATTCATTTTAAGTTGAAGCACTCAATAATACATTAAGTGAAGTCAAGGTTTGTAGTATTTGGCAATTTTCCTGGTGTAAATATTCTCATCATTGTCACTTTTTTTTCTGGTAAGTACTAACATTTTATTTCAATTTAAGGTAGCAGAAATACAAAATAAGACGTTTTGACAACTAGAGCTGATGTAAAATATCACCTTTTTTCAGATCTTTAAAATCTTGAGCATCATTCTGCTCTGATGAGCCTTAATACCCGAGAGGAATATGGGCTCCTCAAGGAATAGAATCTAATATATGGAAGTCTTAACATCTCAATGGAAGTTACAGAGACCACAAAGGGTATGTCCAGACCCAGAGATTTTCCTGACCCCTTAAGTCTTAGTCTCAGGGAGCACATATGTCATCATCTCCTATGGGTGACTGTACAGCAAAGACCCAGTTCCCTATCCTCCACACTGACATCAAGCACCTTCCCTCCTGTTCTCTCTGCCATTGCATGCTCTAGAGTCATTAGAACCTTGGCTGCTGGTTCATCACTGTTTCAGTAAAAGGAATTTGGTCATGAACTCACAGCCCACTTCTGAGTGTGACCTTTGATAAATCCCTGGCTGCCTCGGTTCCCCCACTATGGTCGAGGAGAAGACCCACATGTTGAGAATGCTGATTAGGAAAGGTACAGGACTGCAAGCATTCCAGCATCCATGTTCTTTGACATTAACATCAGTTTCTATGCTTCCTCCGGGTTTCTCTATCTTTTGCATTGCCCAGGTGAGTGAGCGCTCAACCAGGTGGGGCTGATTGTAAAAATGCTGACATTAACATCAATGTTGATCCTGGGTTTCTATTTATTTGTGCCTGAACCTGTGCTAAATGTGGTCCCTCCATAGTTCTCTCCATCCCCAATGGAGAGCACACTGGACCTAATTTTCCCCCCTTGTCCCAATGTTCCTGGGTGTCCAAGCACACCCAGTAAATAATGAGAGCCTAGAGGACAGAAAGTGATGCTCGGAGCAACCCCAGGCACCTTCCCTATTAGGTGTCAGCCCAGCTTACACATGGGCAAGGGATTGACCTTCTCTTCAGAGACCAGGAGGACCACCTGACTATCCCAGCCCTCTCCAGGGGTATCCAGCTCCTCATTCATGGGGGTGGATTAGGGTCCTAGTATTCTTCACCCTCAGCTTTCCCCCATTTGTATCCATCCACGTATTCTTTTCCAGGGATGCCAGATCTTCCAGCTATTCCTCAAAGGCTTAGAGTCTTCCCGAAATGGTGCCTCCACACTCTATTCCTCCTTTCTGCCATCAGAGTCTTCCCCAATTCTCCAACATCACTCAGCCTGCAGTTCTATGGCCCTTCACTTCATCCATCCATGAACCTGAGAGGGGACCCGAAGGGGTTTACATTAATAAATGGGGTTTACATTAATTTAAATGGATCCCATGGAGTCTCCTTAAGTGTTCTTAGTCTAAGTGAGAAAAAGGAAACATTCCCTGCACGTTTACGGCTTTTCTCCAGTGTGAACTCTCAGGTGTCTAACCAGGTTAGGTTTGTAGCTAAACATTTCCCACATTCACTACACTAACTACATTCACCAGTGTGAACTCCCTTGTGTTTCCTGAGGCTATCACTTTTACTAAAGGATTTCCCACAATCACTACATTAATATGGTTGTTCTCCAGTGTGAACTCTGTAGTGTGTGGTGAGGTCAGTTCTTTGACTGAAGGACTTTTCACATTCACTACACTCATAATCTTTTCTCTAGTGTGAACTCTGTGGTGTTTAGCGAGGTGAGGCCTTTGACGAAAGGACTTCCCACAATCACTACATTCATATGGCTTTTCTCCAGAGTGAACTCTGTGGTGTATAATAAGGTCAGTCCTTTGTCTGAAATGCTTACCACATTCGCTACACCCAAATGGCTTTTCTCCAGTGTGAACTCTGCAGTGCCTGGCGAAGTTGGACATGTAACTGAAGAACTTCCCACAATCACTACACTTATACCGCTTTTCTCTAATGTGAACTCTGTTGTGTTTAATTAGAGCAGTGCTTTCACTGAAGACCTTTCCACAATCAGTACACTCAAACGGCTTTTCTCCAGTGTGAACTCTCCCATGTTGAGGGTGGTTAAAGATTGGTCTAAACACTTTCCCACATGTATTAGATTCATAAATCATATCTCCAGAGCAGAGACCTTTCTGAAAAGCACCTTTCTGTTTCTGGCTTGCAGATGTTTCACATTCAACCCACTGGTGATGTCTTTTTCCACTGAGACATTCCTGTGAAATCTCATTGTTACTGTGTGGCTCCTTGGTATTAAGAGTGGCCTGATGCTGGAGAAGCCCTGAGATGGCTGGGGAGTCTTCCCCAACCTCCGTCCTAGCTGCAGGCACCCCGGATAAGTAGAAGCAGCAACTGGTACCAAGCGAGGACCTCTCCATATCTTCTTTACAGGGCTTCTCTCCACTGGCATTCTGCTGTTGCTGGTGAGGGTTTGCACTGAAACACAAGTCTCTCACACATGCATCACTTAAGAACACATTCTTCTCAAAGTAAACCACTTGTAACTCAGTCAGGTGCAAAATATCTTTTAACACTGAGAAGCACGGCTTACACAGATGGGTCCTCTGGGTGGCTGCAGCTGTCTTGGAAGCCCTGACATGAGACTCTCCTACAGATACACTGTGCTCAGAATAGGCCTCAACATCTTTCATTTTATGCCAAGGACCTGAAAACAGAGAAATGATGAGGAAATGAATGTTGACAGGGTGAAGTCCCATTATAAAAGTGTGTTGCACATACTACATTGGTTTCATGCAATTGGTTGAAAATGAAAGACCTGAAAGATAAATTAGTAAGAGGCCATTGTGAAGTTCTTGACCACTGAAGATCACAAAACAAGGAAGACTTCAACAGAAATAGAAAAACATGGCAAGCACTATGTGAAAGAGAAGCAGACTCTCCATATCATTCTGCTGTTAACAGCATTCAGTAGATCTTCTCTGCTGGTGACATGGGCAAGCTGTGCAGAAGTTTGGTTACATCTCATTCCAAGTAAAATTCAATAAGCAAGTAGCTGGTGTTTAAGCACGTATGTGCTCCTCAAAACACTTGCATAGGTCCATGTTGTAGTATACTGCAGAAAGAGATGTGCAGAGGAATAGGTGATGTAAAAAGGACACAAAGGTGAAGGTAGCCAAAGCTAGGAAGTCACTGATAAAAATAATGAGTCGGCAAAGTGTCAAGGGTGGAAAAAGAAAGGTATAAATGAGGAATGACCTTTGGAACCTGCACCAAACACCATTAGACAGGAGCAGGTTCCTGGTACAATATGAACACCATCCTTTTGTCATACCTTCCCCAAGTTGCTACTCAGAAGGGCCAGGCATCTTCTGAGACCATCCTGTATGTTCACCCTGGAAAAAACCAGGATTTTCCCTGCACCTCCTTCTCTAGAGATATGTACAAACTAAATATTCTGAGTATCAATGAAAGACAACAGAGGTGAGCAGCCATCACTTGACCATAGAATTTGGCTTGCAATAGTATTCAGGGAAGGTAATATTACAAACAACAATTGAAGGAGGGTCTTAAAAGAACAGCCCCTGGTTCATGTAAGTAAAGAAGATACCTGGCACAGGCATTCACCAAGGTCCTTATCTACAGAAAAGGTGCCGAAGTGGAGGCCATGGATCTGGATATAGTCACTCTCCCTGGGTGTGGAAGAGCAGGTGGGACCCATTAAGCTGTCTGTAAGACTGCTGACACCCAGACACTTCCTGCAGTTTCTGAGGCAACCGGTTTAGGGAGGTTTATGGAGTCTATTGCTCAGGGCTCTCCGCAGAGGTCAGCACTGGCAGACACAGCTTATTGACAAGACAGTGGGGGAATTAGCAGAGCCCATGGTCTGGCTTTGAGAGAAAGAGAGAGAGAGAGTGCTATGTCTGGAGAATAAATAAAGAGTGGGCATCACTTCAGGACCCTAGGAGAGATGTGAAGGTCTTACCTACGAATGATACAAATGCAAACACTTCCAGCATCACATTGCAGTACAGACGTCTCTGAGACTCATCAAGGATCTCCCATTCCTCCTGAGAGAAGGCAATGGCCATGTCTTCAAAGTTCATATCCTGTCATAATGGAGACAGTACATCCCACGATAAGATTCTCTCTTCAGATTCCAAGCTTGTCATACTCTCCACCCTGCACATCCTTCTGCTCCCCTACTCCCCAGATCAGAGAAGATAGCAGGCCTTGGTCCCATCAAAGTCAATCTCTCCTTATATTCCTACTGATGCTGTGTCTTCCCACAACAATAAAGGCAGATGAACAGATATAAGATACCTGTGCTCTGATCCTCAAATGTGAGTCACACTGCTCCTTTTCAATAGCAGTGGGTGTCAGGAACATAGAGTAGGAAGAGATGCTGCACAAAAAGAGAATGTGATGGATTTGACACTGATCTTTTCAGGCAAAACCCATGTTGTCCTCTAAATTGTCCCTCCAAGACACCAAACAACATGATAATGCCCATTACACTTCTGATTCCAATCCCAGTTTGCTGAGGTCATCACTTTGCATTACCTGCTGCCTATAGTTCTTTGATCCACACTTGTCTCACAGCTTCATTCTCAAAGGCACAACTTCACTGGGAACACAAATAAGCCATGACAAGGACAGGGTGTTTCCTAATCAGCTTCTTTTTCAAAATTCTAGTTCACCGCCTCTGTAATATATTTCCCTCTGATTCTTATCTCTTCTCATTTCCCCATGCTGGTGGAGATTTTCAAACGCAGGTGACACTGATGTATGCTCTCTCATTCCTATTGTTCACTGGGTCAGCCCTCAACAAGAAATGGCAGGTGGGGAGATATACAGCACCTAAAACCTGGCACTGGCATGTAGCACCACAGCAACCTATCTTGTTAGGAATTCCCCGTATTAAATCATATTTAATCATATTACCCTAAAATTCCCAGTATTAAATCATAAAGACACCATCAGAAATGGATGCCCTTTTCATTCACTCATATGTCAATATTGGTGACCTGCCGCCATGAATTCACACTCCCTCTCCAAGTGCAATCACTCTTCCTTACTACACCTCTCTTATTCCTGAACTCCCAGAGCTACAGCCCCTATAGCCATCTTCTGGGTTTTCTACTCAGTACTTAGCATGTGTGTTCCAGAGAATGCTTTGCAAATTCAAAGAAGATCAAGTATTCTACCAACTCTGACAGTCCACAGTCATAGCAACAGTCTTGAACCTGCTAAGACCTCCCTCCCTGACTGTTTATTCCTTCAACCTCACCTACTGAGAACCACATCACATTTCAGATGAGCATAGTCCACCTCCACTGGTGCTTCACCTGACATCCCTTCAACAGTCACAGGCTTCATCACTCAAGTCCCATCACCTATTGGCCTCTACCCAATGCCCAGTGAGTCTCACAGATGACCCGTCATGGCCCTAAGCAAATCAACCAGACTGACTGCAACATCTCAGGCCACACCCAATGGCACAAAAAGTTCCTGGTGGATGTTTTAGAAGTAAATATGCACCAGCCGTAGTCTCAACTTGTTTGAATTACTCTTCAGACTCCCATTTTAAAAAATCATCTAAACTCCTACTGGTCCATAATTCTTTACAAGCTTTTGAAGAAGTCTTCATTCTGAACTACCCCTCAGAGTCGGAGATGCTTATGAACTGCTCTCTGAAATCTCAGACTCTAATAGGCTAGAAAGAAAAGTGTTTGTATCCCCAATGAATATTACTTTTTTACTATGATTTTCTCCATCTCAGTGGATGGTGCTTCCATTCCTGCAGCTGCTAAATCCAAAATGTCATGACTTCTCTGACTCTTATCTCTCTCTCTCTCTCACATCCTCAAAATTAGAATATTTAGGTGGCCACACCTAAAACACCAATCCATAATGCAACTGTTTCTTCCACTTCCACAGTCACCATCATGGGCCAGTTCCCATCACACTCACTAATGCTATCGTCCTACTATTTCTACTACCTCCCTCACGCCCATATTGTCCATCATGCTGCAGCCACACAATCTAAGGAGATCTTGGTCACATTACCTGCCTCCACTGCTCCAAATGTCCCATTGCTCCCATAACATGCAACACAGACACCAAGTTGTCACAAAGTTCCTCTAGACCTGACTCCTGTCCCATTGTTACCTGTTCTCATTTTTTTTTTTAGAAAGAATACCCGCTGGTTCTGAAACTAGCTCAATCTTAACTCCAAGCCATTGAACATTATGGGACCTATGCCTGGGAGGACCTACAACTTTTTATTCCACTGGTTGCCCAAAAGAGGGTCCTGGACTAAACATTTTGGGCTTGGTGTCTGATCAAGGTCCTCAGGTCGAAGGAGAGGACCATCCCAGGAGACCACTATTGCTTAGGTTATAAGAGTGGGAGGCCCTAAAATAAGTTCCACAAACCAGTACCCCTAAGTGATTCTGCAATTGCAGGAATCTGTGGAAAAATTAAGGTTTGTTGAGAGCCTTTCAACCACCATCAGGATCCATGGACTCAGGCTGCTCAGTACCCTTAGCCAGCCCTAGGGCCAGGTGACCTTAAGATGCCTGCATTACCTCAGGGCTCAGTCCTCAGTGCACACTCTTGCCAGATGCATTACTTTTACAGGACTTCTCCTTCCTGTCCCTAACTGCTTTCCTCTCTCTTCTAGTCTGTTCTTCCTCTGAGCACTTTGGGTAAATGTTTAGAACCCTATCTCAGACCATATCCCTTGTTTTTGTCGCTATCATGGATGGCCCCACTTTCCTGATCTTAATGTAACAAACATCCAAAAGTTGAAAGAATTTTTCTGAGTTTATTTTGGCAAAACTGACTACAATTGGCCAAAAGCAGAAACTCAAAGTTTTGAGATAATGCTCCAGAGAATGGTGCTTTTTCCTTATTTTTTTACACTGCAATCAAAGGAGGAGATGTGAGTGAGCTACATGAAATCCAATGGTGATAGATATGAGAGGCAAGAGCAAGTAAAGTGGGGAAACCTCTGGGATTAGATAAAAAGTAAATGATAGACCTATGCTGTTTTACACAGGTTTGTACAGGACAGTTAACAGTCACTAATTAACAGCATAACAATAACAATGAGTGAATTTGTGGTCTCCACCCTGGCCCATTGGTTAGTCCCTGAAGGGACCAGAAAAAGGGAAGTTACAGGTTACCCTGACATTCCAACAATATGTTACCATAGATGCAAAAAATAACAAAACAAAACAAAAGCAGATAGGCTTAGTTAGGTAAAGATTGACTTTTGTCAGAAAAGAATATAGTCATAAAGTTTATGACTACTGGTCATGGACTGCATTTAATTAAAAAATTTTAATTGCAGATCTTCCTTTGGGTTTATTTAGGTATCTAAGTTTGCATGGCGGCCATGTTGGCACTCCCTGAGATAGTTGGGTTAGCATGTGGCCCCTTTTCATCCACACTGAGAAGGAAAGTAAAATTCATCATGGAAAGCTTGGCCTCATGTTCTTGGTTGCATTAAGACACAAAACAGGCCTGGGTTTCCCGAATACTTCTGGCTCAGTCATACCACCCAGTCCTTACACAGTGGCATTGCAGCCTGTCAACGTCTTCACCCCATCATATCCTGTGTCACCCACAAACAACTCACTGTTCTGGATGTAGCAACCAGGGCTGCAGGACCTGAGAGACACCCGCAGGCAAGGCTGGAGGGATAAATGGGGTGAGGCTGAGTCACACTTTGTGGCAGAGAGGAGTGTGTGAAGCAATAGGCCTCAAACCTGCCTGTTGCCTCCCATGCCTTGTCCTCATTCTTATCTCATTCCTAACAATGAGTGTGTCACCCCAACAACAAAAGGCTGGTGGGTAGATAAATGTCATTTAAGCCCTGTACCTGGCAGGTAGCTCCAAAACACCCCTCTTTTCAGGCAATTACCCTAAAATTACCCTTATTTTATCTTCCAGACTCCACCAGAAATGGACTTCCCCTTCATTCACTCCTATGTCAACGTCAGGGCATTCTGTCCATGAATTCACACTCCTCTCCAAGTGCTCATCATGCTTTCTACCACACCTCTCTCACACCTGCACTCCCACAGTCCGGGCCCCATAGTCCTCTCCTCGCCCTGTTAGTTATTACTCAGCATGTGTGGTTCAGAGAATGCTTGCCAAATTCAAACAGGATCAGTACTGTCCAGACACTGACAGTCCACACTCACAGAGGCAGTCTTGATTCCTGCTATGAAGGCCTCTCTCTCCATGACTATTTTTCCTTCAATCTAACCTATGAAGAACCACAGTCAGATCTCAGATACAAGAGCCAACCTATCCTGGTGCTGCATTTGATGTCCTTTCACCAGTCACAGCCAACATCTCTCCACTAAACCGTTACTCAACTCCCAGCTGTGCTGCCCTCTGTACCATGCTTAGTGAGTCTCACAGATGACCATTCAAGCCGATAAGCTAATCCAGAAGACTGACTGTTAATCCCTCAGCCAGGCCACACTGAGGATCACAACAATATCCTGGTGAGTATTTAGAGAAGTAAATATGTACCAACCCAATCTCATCTAGTTTGAGTTACTCTTTGGCCTCCACTTAATCTCAGGTCCAATCATCTTTTAAAGGCCTTGGCCACTACAAAATGATTATCTCTCCCCAACACTCTACATGACAATTTCGGTCCCTAAGCTGTGTTGTGACACCCACCTCCCACAGTGGCCCCAGCAGGAAAGCCAGTCCTCAGCCTCACACTGTCCCTTCTGAGCTACTACTACCATTACCAACCTGACCATTATTCGCTGTATTAAAGTGATGTACAGTCCTGGATGATGTGTCTCGTTTGAGCATAGAGCCATGCACTGGTGAGGTCACATGCCTGGGTTGTGGGCTGGATCCATTATAGGGGTTGTGCAGGCGTCAGCCGATCCTTGTTTCTTGTTCATCCCTGTTTCTCAGTCTCTCTCACTCTCCCTTCTTTTCTACATCTAAAAATGTGTATATGTATGTATGTATTTATTTATTTTTCCAAGAACATACCTCTAAGTTCCTGAATCAGCTCACTCTTCACTCCTAGCCTTTGCACATTCTGAAACCTATGCCCTGTAGGACCTCCCACTCATTACACTGGTTGCCAGAAACTAGGTCCACTGCATGAAGCCCTAGTTGTGGCCTTAGGATTCTGGGATTAGTGTCTGTTCAAATTACCCAGGTCCAAGGGCTACAAGAGCGGCTGGACAGTCCCAGGGCACTACTATCTCAGAGGCCACAAGTGCATGAGGCCCTGAAATAAGCTCCATAAACCAGTACACCTACCATAACCAATTCTGCATTTGCAGGAATTCATGGAAAGAAAATGGTCTGTTGAGAGCCTGGCAAACACTGCCAGGATCTAGGGGTTCAGGCTGCTTA